CTCCGGGTATGCACGGACAATGGTTGCCTTGTGCTTTGCATGCCTTACAGTGGAAAGCTTGGCCTTCAGCACATCCTCCACACCGGCGGACAGGCTGCCGCAGATTAGAAGATTGAAAAACAGACTGAATGATGACATGTTCAACGAGATAACGAACACCTCCGGGACAGCTGATACAGAGTTCAGAGCCTGGAGGATTTCATTGTCTGAAAAACTGGCCAGAGAGAGCAGGAGAGCATCCCAAGAGCACAAGCGTACCACGCAGGATGAGATGCTGCGGATTATGAAGGACCAGACAGACATGTTGAGGTATCTGGTTGAACTTCAAGAAAAACAGCTTGCTAAACTCCCTCTGCAGCCCCCGCAGAATGGCCTGCAATCACCACCCTATTCCCAATCCTCTTCCCCAAAACATTCCAGGAAGTGGGGGGGGGGAGGGGGGAATGCAGTATCCCTTCCACTCAACACCAGAGGAGGGTACTAAGAACAAAGCCATTTGAAGACCTTTGATGGACAAATCTTCTGTGCTTTCTCAGGAAAGCTGACTGGGTTTCTCCCCTCCCAATTTTATCATATCATTTGCCCCAGGTTAAATTATTTTCTTGTTCTTTCAGTTTCTTCATATTTGTGCAATAAAAGTCAATGTTTCAAGAATGAAATACTCTATTTATTCCAAGCATGAGGTTTTTGGTGGGAGCGGGAGGTACAGAGAAACTGATGCAACAGAGGGGATGGTATGGGAAGGCACAATGCAAACAAATGGTGCACATTACTGTGGCTCATTTCTGAACTGGGTTTTCAAAGCCTCCCGGAGACGCAGAGCTCCTCGCTGGGCTCGTTTTATTGCCCTGGTATCTGGCTGCTCAAAATTAGCTGCCAGCCTGTCCACCTTCATGCCCCCACTCTTACGGAAACTTCTCTCCCTCTGACTCACAGATATTATGGAGCACACAGCAGGCAGAGAGAACAATGGGGATATAGCTTTCACTGAGGTCTAACCTAGTAAGCAAACTGCTTAGTATGTTAGACCTAGTAAATGTCCAAAGGCATATTCCACCACCATTCTGCACTTGCTCAGCCTCTTGTTGAACCACACCTTACTGCTGTCCGGGTGGCCAGTGTATGGCTTCATGAGCCATGGGAGCAAGGGGTAGACTGGGTCTCCCAGGATCACTATAGGCATTTCAACATCATCAATGGTTATTTTGTGATCTAGAAAGAAAGTCCCAGATTGTAGCTTTCGTAACAGACCTGTGTTCCTAAAGATGTGCGCGTCATGCACCTTTCCTGACCATCCCACACTGATGTCAGTGAAACGCTCCCTGTGATCCACCAGTGCTTACAACACAATTGGAAAGTATTCCTTTCGGTACAGTACTCTTTGGCAAAGTGGTCTGTGCCAAGATAGGAATGTGTGAGATATCTATCGCCCCACCGCAGTTAGGGAACCCCATCGCAGCAAAACCATCCATCCACTATGTTCTGCACTTTGCCCAGAGTCACTATCTTTCTTAGAAGAAGTCAATTAATGGCCCTGCACACTTGGATCACAACGGCTCCCATGATGGATTTACCAACTCCGAATTGATTCCCCACTGACTTGTAGCAGTCTGGCATTGCAAGCTTACACAGAGCAATCGCCCCTCACATCTCCACTGTCAGAGCAGGTCTCATTTTAGTGTTGCTGCATGTCAGATCTGGGGAAAGCTCTGCACAAAGTTCCTGGAAAGTGGCCTTCTGCATTTGAAAGTTCTGCAGCCACTGCTCATCATCCCATAGCTGCATAACAATGCAATCCCACCAGTCAGTGCTTGTTTCCCAGGACCAGAAATGGCACGCCACCATGTTCAGCTGCTGCACGACTACCAGCAGCAACCAGCAATTGTTTCATTCTATGGCCTGCAGCAGGAGTGCTTGAATGACATTGCGAAGTTCTACGTAGCGGTTCCTGTCTCAGCTCTGGAAATACGGCAGGATAAGGCGTGAGGTGTTTGTAATGCTCACAACAAGAGTGCATAGCTGAGTGGGGGTCCAGGGTTCTTGGGCACTGGCATACACACAGCTAAGCCAGGCTTTCAAAAAAAGGCGTGAAAAAGTATGGGTTGTTTGCCATTGATATCAGAGGGAGGGAGGGAGGAAGGAAACTGCATCACGGGAGTTCAAAGCCATGTTCCCATTCCCCCCACACAACGTTTTGGACCCACGAGGCATTGCAAGCCCTTCCCAAAAACCCCAGCGGCTAGTTGCACTATGGGAAAGCTATCCAAGGTGCACCGCTCTATACATAATGCAAGTGCTGCTAGTAAAGATGCATTGCACTGACACAATGACTGCGGTGTGAACATGCCCAACCAACTTAACTACTGCAGCAGCTGGATGTCAAATTAAGTCGACCTAACTTTGTAGTGAAGACATGCCCATAGTCTCTGCCAATCTTACCCAGAGGAAAATTCCTTCCCAACCCCAAACATGACAATCAGTTAGACCGTGAGCATGTGGGCAAGACCCAGCAGCCAGATACCTGGAAAAGAATTCTCTGTAGAAACTCAGATCCCTCCCCATCTAGCATTCCATCACTGGTATTATTTGATACTATGATATTATAACATATAATTTTATTAATGGGTAAATAGAGATAAGAGGCGTTGATTATTTTTTAAGAAACTATGTAGAAAATTAAAAGTTATCTGTATAACAGACTCCTACAATCTGAGGAATTGTCATTGCCAAGTGACCATAAATAGTACTACAAATACTTCGGACATTGCCTATTTTAAATAGAAATGCAATCAGTGAGAAATATATGAAACCTGAGAAATATATGTACTCATTAACAAAGTTAGGGTATTTGTTCTATATTAAATAAAGTAACATTATATTTACTTAACATACCAACTGAAAATGGCCTAGAAGACAGAGCACTGGATGGGGTCTCAGGATATCTGGGTTTCTATTCCCAGCTCTGCTACTGACTTTCTGGGTGACCTTCAGCAAACCACTTCACCTCTCCTTTCCCTCCTTTGTGACGCGCTTTGAAACACTATTATCTAACCACCTTTATTTTGTCATCTTTGGCCTCTTATTTGCTTTAAATTCTATTCTTTTCTAATAAAAGTTATAAATTAATTTTTTTCTCCAGTCTGTATTTCAGCCAAGGAAAAGAGATTGGATCTCAAGAATTGTGAGAAACTTAGCACAGATAATAGCTTAACTAAAATTACTTAACCTCAATGTGTTTTATAATGTTTCTTTCTCAGAGATCACGTATTAAAGACTATGACACATACAGATTTATGGTTGCAAGGGCAAATTCAAATCTGACATTTCCTAACTTTTGAGTGCTGCATTTTGCAATTAAATAAAGTTCTTTTAATACAGTTTTTGTATGCAAATTCTAGGATTTTTTTAAAGTAAAAAATAAATATTATGTATAATTGTAACCACCAGTGTTCACAAGGTTGGAACTCTGAACCTTCAGCATGACATCACAGACAGCTACCACTTGTGCTCCAGTACTTACTATGTTAGCTGACAGAGCAGGGGGGTTGTAGGGTGGTAGGTGCATATGGAGCACTACCATGTCCCAGGGTCCAGAAGGGAAGGCTAAAGTGGTCTGGTAAGTCTAACCTGCAAGCTCTAGAGACAACAACCAGGTCAGAAGCAAATCTCCCTCAAACTGATGGGAAGGGGTAAGGTGCATTCCTACCATGACGCTGTCTCCGGACTCCATTCAGGGGCTTTCTTTCATATCACCTTCTTGTTAGGTGTGACAAATCTGAAATGTCTCCCACTAGCCCCCTGACTGTCAAAAGGACTCTCTCTAACTTCCACATATTCTCTTCCTGACAGTCCTAGAGGGTCTTTGCTACTCTGCTCCTCCCACAGTCTCATTTTGGGTCCTCCTCTACTCCAATAAACCCAGTGCTTCTGCAGTTTCTTAGTTTAATTCTGTTATTGCTTGGGAAAGCTGACATTGATCAGGTTCACTGCTGCCAGCAGGATTCTTAACAGCTGTATTAACATCAAAGTTCCTGTCAATTCAATCTGCTGCTGCTTGAGGAAAGTTGTGAGCAGCAACAAATGTGAGTTTAATACCAGCAAGTGGAGGACTTTAGTTTGATAATATTTACCCCTAGAAAGGCAGTGGTATGTAACAGTTGGGAGTACTAGCTCGGGAGTCAGGAATTTCCTTGTTTTAATCATGGCTCTGACACTGGCTTGCTGTGACTATGAGCAAGTCATAAATGCTCTCCACCTCAGTTCCTGCCACCGGCAGAATGGGATCATCTCTACCTACCATACAGGATTATTAAAAAGTAGGTTGCATTTGTAACTGCTAAGGAAAACATATACAGTTCAATTCACAAACCCAGAGATAAAATAAACGTAGGTTCAATGCATTTGCCAAGACAGTGAAGTGGAATGACACACTGTCTACACATTCCAGACCGGGCACTTGCCCAGACAGGCTTATTTGGACCCTAGAAGCTACAGAAATGGGTGCTGCTCATTTGCCAGCAGCAGGCTAATAACACAGAAGGGCGCGAGGTGGGACTTTACCCGACCAATGTAACTCAGCGCCACGCGAGGCGGGGAACTGCTGTCACATCTGGACGAAGTGCAGCCCCCCGGGCCGGGGACACCGGGAGCCAGGCTCCACGCGGGGCGGCACGGGACGGCGCGCGGGAGGAGGAAGGCACGGAGTCGGACCGCGGGGGGGTGGCCCAGAGGCGCTCTGCCGGCGGCCTGTCGGAGCAGCCCCGGACCCTGCGGACGGTGTCCCGGGGCGGGCGGTGATGCGCGGGGTCCCCCCGCCCGGTAACCGCACAGCTCCGCTCCGCGGGACAACACAGCGCGGGCGGCTGCTGAAGGCGGGAGACCCACGGGCCGGCCCGTCCCACCAGCTCGGCCCCTGGGGGCCCGGCGGCCGGGGGGGGCTGGGGAGCCTGGGCCCGGCCGCTCCCCACAGCGCCCCGAGGGGCCCGGCCCGCCCCACTCACCGCAGCCGCAGGTTGGCCATGAACTCGGGCATGGAGACTGAGTCCAGCAGCACGAAGTCCGCCTTGCCGAACTCCAGGCTCTCCAGCTCCGCCATGGCGCCGGGGTCTCTGCCGGCCTGCGCGGCTCCCGAGCGTCGCCTCAGCCCCGCCGAGCGCCCGCCCCGCCTCACCTGGGGCGCGCGGAGCCCGCCAGGAGCGGGCGGGGCCTGCCCGGGGTGGAGCCGGGCGCGCGGCCCCGCCCCGCCTTCTCCGCCAAGGGCCGGCAGCGCCCCCTGCCGGCCGCGGCTCCGCCCCGGCTCCGGGCCCCTGGCCAGCGCCCCACGCTGGATCCTTGGGGGACCCCCATTGCGGGGCTGGATCCCACAGCCCCGAGGGAACCCCATCCCCTGGGCCCCACACTGGGGGACTCGATCCCGGGGACCCCACCCCCAGCACCCTGCATTGGGGGGCTGGATCCCACAGCCCTGGGTGACCCCATCCCCAGGGCTCACACTGGGGGGGCTGGATCCCACAGCCCTGGGTGACCCCAACGCCACGTCTCACATTGGGGTGCTGGTTCCTGCAGCCCCCAGGTGATCCCATCCCCAGCACTCCACACTGGGGGGGAAGCTGGATCTTGCAGCCCCAGGGGGTCCCCATTCCCTGCACCCCACACTGAGGGTCTGGATCCCACAGCCCCCAGATGACCCCATCCCCAGGGCCCACATTGGGGGGGCTGGATCCCACAGCCCTGGGTGACCCCATCCCCAGCATCCTGCATTGGGAAGCTGGATCCCACAGCCCTGGGGGAACCCCACTCTCAGGTCACACATTGGCGTGCTAGATCCCACAGCCCCAGGAGACCCCATCCCCAGAACCCTGCATTGGGGGCTGGATCCCACATCCCCGTGGGACCCCATCTCCAGGGCCCCACAATGGGGTGTTGGATCCCACAGTGCAGGGGGACCCCATCCCCAGTGCCCACACTGCGGGGCTGGATCCCACAGCCCAGGGGGCACTCCATCACTACAGCCCCACATTGGGTTGGGGGCTGGATCCCACAGCCTTGGAGGACCCCATCCCCAGCATTTTGGGGAGACATGGTTTTCTATGCTTGGAAACTCTCCCAAGCCTGCAAAGACTTATTTACCTACTTAAGATTATTCACGAGTAGTCCCATTGACTTCAGTGTGACTACTCATGTTAAAAATTAAACGTGTGTAAATCTGATATTGGCACTACGGTCTCTTTAATTGAAACCAGGGTCTTTAAGATGGAATGTAATCTGCAGGTGAAGTCAATGAGTCAATAGAACAAGCTAACCTCTCTCATTGGTGTCTGTAGATGTATTTATTCTCTGCAGTTTTATTATAAGCAGTGCAATTGCATAGGTGGTTTGGTAGTGGTACTAGTTCTACTTTTACTTTATAATGGCTATGGTCCTTTCAGGTAAGGAGTGGTAGTTGTGCATAATGTCCTATTTGCAATTATTTTATGATTATTTGATGGTTCTTATATGTGTTATCTGAGTGTTTTCCCAGAGTGCATTCAGTAATGTGACTAGCATTTGTTATCTCATTAAATACTTTTCTTTTTTTTTTATAATTCATCCCACAGATTAATGTATTAACTAGACATTGAAATATCTAAAAATACTAAATCAGGAGCTAAATTACTTGTCTTAAGCTTGTCTTGCTTCTAGGGAGTGCTCTCCTCTCCCAGCTGTACAATCTGCACTCTGAGGAGGATAGAGATGTTTTGAGCTAGTCTGTCTGTATGTAACAAGCTTGTAAATTCCATTCTTCCTTTTTGTGTTGTCTGCCTTAATAGCAGAGATGCAGCTTTCTTCAGTTCCCTTTCTAAGGAAGAAGATAGACTATGCCAGGGGAGATCCTCTGTGTCTCCGGCTCTACAGTAGCAAGAGAAAGGAGGGTTACTCTACCTACATATATAAAGTTCTAAAGCAAGTAAGTCCTGGTTCTACAAGTGCTGCAATAAGAGCTTAAATATGAACATGTTATCTTTGAGCTTAGATTGAGAACTCAAGGGGGAGGGAGAGCTCTGCCTGCCCCCCACTTCTTGAAAAGTACTGCTGGCCTACATAAGCCACTCTTAATGCTGTGTGGATGAGACTTGTTTAGAGCAGGTTTAGCTAACATTTTTATCTCTTCTTTAACAAGTTGCAGGAGCCTTATCTACACTAGGGCTCCAAATTCTGTTTATGGTGAGTCTTAAATTGCTGTGGTGTAAGCAAGGTTTTTGGGCTAGAACTTCTTCTGACTTAAAAATAAATCTGTTCAGACTCTTGTCTGGGGTACTGATAATATAAATTTATGCCCCTGACTATGATTGCTTAGGAAGAGAGCCTCTTAAAGGCTAAGTAGCAGCCAACTGGAGAAATGTAGGTGTGACTTTCATGTTTGCCTGACTGTGTGTTAATTATCCTACCTATGACACACCTGAATCTTCACCCTTGTGTCTGGGCCATATGTCATTTGCTTGTCTGGATTTGATGTTGCTGAGCAATGCCTATCTACTTCTGGAGGCACCCAATCAACACCTGGGAGTGGAGAGGACACTTTTATTGCTTAGTCTCTTTTTACTTGCTGCTCAGAGGGTGGGGAGGCTCTGAAAATGCCTTCTGCTCTAGATGGTAAAACACCTGGGACCAGCCCTTTTAATGACTCCTGTTCAGTATAAAGTACCTACAGTCTCATTTCTAGTGAGGCCTGTACAACCTTGTTGCAGCCTGCTGTCCCGATAGACCACTCTAAGACCAGGCTGGTACTTGCACATCTAGACTCTGCTCCTCTCCATTTTGTTAAGCAACTTGGGCTGGGATTTGGTTAAATACTACCAGGCTTCTGGAGTGGTAACTTAAGCTTTGATGTGTTACTACAGTGAGTACTCTACCCATAATGTAGGAGATACCCACAGCTGCACTTTTCTAACAAGCATGGATTAGACATTTAATTGCCTGCACAGCAGTTAGCCAGACTAATATAATGGCATCCCCTGCTTTGGGGAGGGAAGTGGGAGAAGTTGAGAGGTTTGACTGACTCCAAGTTGAGAACACCAGTTTTGGTGGGTCACCTGAACTACTTGACTAGTCTGTGACATGCTTTTTGGCTCCTTCAAGAGCTGATTCGTTAAAGGTGAATAGAGGTTGCTGAACTTTGCCTCTTACCATTCCATACCAAGGAAATCAAACTTAAACCTCACCTTAACTATCTGTTTCCTGGTCTAACTCCTCCCATGCAACCCTAATTCTGCCCATGTGGAACAGGCACAGGAAATGCAACAAACCCTTACCCATAGCTTAGAAAACCTTCCGCTTTCTGTGTGCTCAGCATAGCAGGCAGAGACTTGCAACTACAATGCCCCAAGATCCCTGCTTATGGGCTGTCATGTGGGAGGTCAGACTGTGACTGCAGTGGTCCCCCCGGCTACTAAAAGCTAGGAAGGTTCTTGAAACTTGTTTCCCTGACAATGCTGATGTGTGTCTTGGAGAGTTAGTGCGCTGTGCTATCATCTTGAGGGCAGTGACAGGAGGTGGGAGAATGGCAGCATGTGGTGTAGGCTTTCATGAGCTTAAGTCTTGGTTTTGCACTCTGGAAGGGTATAAGCCAGTGGTAAGCAACCTTAATTCATCTGTATGAAAGCTCTTTGAACTCCTGGCTTCTATGCATTAACCGAGACCCTGATCTAACAATTCGATAGGCTGCTTTAGGACTAGTGGTGTGTTGCTGAACTTGCCACTAAATAGTGCACTTCTAAGCAAGTGACTTGACATTAATGCTCCTTCTCTGGCAGACTCATCAAGTCTCGGGGGTCTCCTGCTGGATTGCTGATGTCATAAATTCTCTGGATAAACCACAGTTGTTTGGGAAAGTTGCATTAGAAGCTGCCAGGTTGTCTCTCTACAACAAGAGAAGCCTCATTACCTGCAGGGAGGTCCATGCTGCAATGAAGTTAGTGCTTCTGCATGAGCTCTCCAAGCAAGATAGGTGTGAGACCATCAAAGCTGTGACTAAGTCCACTGGCTGTAAATGAACTCTTATTAATATGTAATGGTTTTTAATGCTTGTGAAGGTTTAATGTATAATAAAGTACTTGTAACTATTGCTGCTTTGTGAGGATCAGTTACTGAAATGCCTCTTTAGTTGAGGCAGGAAGCATCCCTGCACACACACCTCTGGGTTGGTACTCTGGTTGTAAAGTACAGGAGGCTCTCTAAGTCATGCAAGTCATAGGGCTCCTTCTCTCCTGAACCAAAAGAGGCTGCAGAGGTGCCATGTACACCTTCCGTCTCTTTGCAGGTATCTGTTGCTGGTATGCTAACTAAAGCAGTGCAGCTCTTGAGGCCACTTGTGCTCCACTATCCAGGAGGAAGTGGCTTTGATAGTGGGGTGCTGGGGGTAGGCCAGCCCCTTGCCATTCAAGCAACCTAAATAGTGAGGAAGTATTTTCAACTACCACAGTTTGACAGTGGCTCTAAACAGAGTGTAGGACCTGGAGGGGGTGAGTCAGCAGAGGGAGGGGAAACTTGAGTCCCACTTGATGTCTAGCAGCTGCCTTTCCAAGCATTCTTGGGGGGGGGGGGGGGGAAATCAAGCTGAATAGCTTAGTCACTACTGAAAGGAGACAGGCGTTGCCTAGTTCCTAATGTGATCTAGTGCTTAGAGTAGGGGATTTGCAGTTAGGACTTCTGCTCTCCCACTGAGTTGCTTTGGACAAGGTTCGACTGCTATTTAACCCCTTATGCTGCCATTCTCCATAAATAGGAAGAATTATACTAGCACGTGTTGCTATATGGCTGAGAAGTACTAAAATGCATTTTAAAAAATTACTATTAACAATTGATTTAGTTGGGGATTGGTCCTGCTTTGAGCAGGGGGTTGGACTAGATACCTCCTGAGGTCCCCTCTAACCCTGATATTCTATACTAAGGCTTGCCCGCAGCAGGAAGCCTTTCCAGAATAAGGTGTATGTGACTTTAAAGTGCTCAAGATATACTGGAATAACTGCCTCTGTGGATACTTTTATTCTGGCGGGGGGGGGGAGAAGTATCAACACATTGCATTAATCTGCAATCGCTATTTATGGCCAATTCATCTCTTATAGTGAGATTCTGCTCCCTCATACAGAGACTCAGGGAGTCAGTCCTGCCAGAGCAG